AAATAATGAGAACAAGCTTTGAAGTGTGTACGAGAAACGACTGTGGTTGCGTAACTCGTGAAAAACAAGAAATCTACTTAAAGTGTTTGGTTTGTCCATTCTGGGCTACTGTAGAAACATGGTGGGCGTCTGTAGATAAAAATGGCTCATTCTAAGGGAATATAAACACAATCTATGAATATTATATATAGAGCTTCCTAAATGTTACACACTGGACCTTTAAATTGAATTATGCCAGGTTACCTGCATGTGTCCAGACAACACGTTCATGGCTTTGGTTCCAGCAGAGATATAAGACACAGCTTGGCCGTTGTTAGTGATGTAGAGATCCTCCACCAGGATGTTGTCCAGAACCAGTTTTTTGAAAAGACGGTCAGCATTATGCCTAGAGTATGCACCTCCCATCCCAAACATTCCTGTCTGTACCTTGGCAGATTTAGACCCTGAAAGAGAAGAAATGATTCCCCTCATAAGACCATTCACAGTCAACTCTTATTACATGCATCATGCCATTTTCAAACTTGAAACTTGAAAACTCCCTTTTCATGCAAGCATGTACTTTACCTATAAAGATATCCACCAGCATATTCAGTGTCAGTCTGTTTTGCTGAGCAGTCTTGCCAAACCTTGCTCCAACTTTCTCACAGTTCTCCTGGGCAAACTTCACAATCTTCTTCACATCTTCGGTAACATTTCTCATCTTGTATTGCTGCACAAGGGAATAGTCAAACATTTGTCCAATCAGAAACGGCCAGGTAGGTTTTTAATTTGAAATAATAAGAAAGAAAGAAAATACTGAAATGATGCCTACGTTGGGTTTGGCACAGTTGTCACAGCTGACGTCTGCGTGGTCCTTGCAGAAGTTTTTGTTGAAATTCAGCTCCCCAAAGTATGCCAGCAGCTGAATTCTTCTGCACTCCATCACGTTCTCACAGAAGTGCACCATGCTGTGTAGGTTGTTGTAATGAGTTGCTTTGGCGTGTCTGTCACCTTCTCTGTCCACTGCAATAAAAAAAAGAACCATCTAAGTCTACATGGCTAATACAGTTAGATATCTGGAAAGAAAACATGGTTTGAATTATTTCATACGCTTAAAAAGGACCAGTGTGTAAGATTAA